TCTCTTATAAAAATCATGTGTGACTGATCCAGATATAAAACAACAAATGAAACCCTATCCAACTTTTTTTCCCTAAACCTCAGATAAAGCAAATAAATAAAAGCCCAACTAAAATAATACTCAACTGATTGCCAAGCAATGTCTTCAAACTCCAAAGTGCTAAGCAGAGGCCCAGGTGAACCATGTCTTGTTGGCATTGTCTGCCAGGGAGTGCTCATATGTGATGAGTGAGTCCTTCAAGGGAGAATATAGAATCTTCTGAGGATTGGAGTATCCATCTTAACATGTTAGGGCAGAATCCTCTCCTCAGACACAGCATCCCCTCAGGGGAGCAACTGTGAAGCCACAAGGGCAGTGTGCAGACCCTGAGCTATGGAAGCTTCATTTTGCCAAATGGAAACTGATTTTGAAAACTGACCCTCAGAGATCCTGTAAAGCATAGAAGGAATCAGCAGTGCTTGAAAGCAGAGCTGCTCCTTTTTATTCCTTCCATGCAGTGTCCAATGGGATTCCCGTGTTCCAGTCCTTCAGGGACACCAAGGTCCACTTCTGATGGTGGAAATAATGTGCTTTCTTTGTTCAGAGCAAGCACTCATGCCATGAGTCTCGAGTTTGTGCACCAAGTGCAAGCTCGCCAAGCTCACAAAAGGAACAAGGAGTGAGGGAGTGCCTGTGTGGATAGAACTGCAGCAACACAATGAGACTTGGGAAAGTATAATACTAGATGTGCAAAAAGTACTATTTAAATCCCAAAACTCACTGACACAACTATAAACTCATTTATAGGACCAGGAAAAGCCTTAGGAAGTAATCTGCTCCACCTCTCCACTTTGAAACAGACCCAACTCTACCTAAAATATATTTGCCATAGGCACTTCTATAACTTCCTTATAACAATCTTTTAAGAATAAGCCACTGATTAATGCAGTCTATTCTACTGCTTAAAGAAGATTGCCTTGCCACCCAAACACCTCAACTAGGACAAGATGTAATAGCCTTAAATTTCAAGCACAGAGGACACAAAACCCAATTTTACTACATTGTTTCCTTCATGTTCTTTATTTTTTTAAGGCAATCTGTGTATAACAGATTATTCAAATGAAGCTTTACAGGGATATTTACCCAATATTTCTTACTTTTTTCTCCTTCTTATATCCATATAAAGCCCACCAAACCAGCAACACCCAATCCAAAGAAACCACCACCACAAAACCCCCCAAACACCCTAAAGCAGACCACTTGCTCTCATGAAGTTTTAAAATCTTTCTTTTGTCAGCTATTTCACCTGCATGAGGCTTAAATCACTTGCAGTGTGCAGACCATACTGTTCAGTCAGCTATGTAGCACATACTGAGTGTCATAAGTTGAACTCACTGGAAAATGTTTAACTGGGGTACATGGCTTTTACATTAGCATGTGATAACACAGTAGAACCATGGTACTGTGCAGTGAGGGACTTAGCTGGAATTAGAATTGTGTCAGTAATTACAGAGCAATTGTGTTGTTTATACTCATTAAACAAACCAAAGGAATGGTGCAAGGAAGAAGTTCAAAGGATGACCCTACCTTCCACATGCAGTTGTTTATGTAGTAAGTTTTGTGTTGTGGATACCTTTATATTGTGGATATCTTTGTCATTACAATCTGATATAGTTCAATAGACAGTTGCCATGTTAGAGAAAAGCAGTATGAATGATAATGAAGAGCAGTGTATTCCTGTAACATCAATCTAAACTGAAATGCAAAATTTTCTTCTTTTCTCAATTTCTGTTTTGTGTCCCCCCTCCACGTGCATCTGGCCCATCTAGGGCAGAGTATTCTCTGTATCTAAGAATTAAAGTGTTCATTAGACACATCTTCCAACAACGGAAATGTCTAATAAGAAACAGACGACAATCTGATGGAGCCCTCCTATGCGTAGGGGAGGAATTCCTGCAGTGACATTCACCTCGGTGTAAGGAAATAGGAGGCAAATATGAAAGAAACCAAAGGAATTGAGCGCACGGCCTCAACTCAATTTGCCACAGGGTGTCACTGTTACTCTAGGCAAGTGAAGGACGGGTCCCAATGTACCTGTGTCATCCATAGATGCTGCAATTCCACTGGGACGGGGCTGAAAGTATTTACTATGTATTTTGACAAAAGAAAAAAAAATTATTCTAAAGACGTCACTCTGTAAAATCACAATAAAGGCAGATGATTAATTAAGTAAAATATTCTGGTTGTGATGCTCCTTGAGACAATCTGTGAAGAATGCTGAGTGGGGACCAAAGCTCTCTGCTGCCCGTTCTCTCAGCAGGACTCCGGTCAACATAAACCATTTAAAAACCCCAAACAAACTCCCAAACCCAGAAAAAAAATCGAAGGCAGCTCAAAGAGCAATGTGCCTTTCACACTGCTGCAGATGTGCAGAAGAGGCTCCTCCTGCACTGCCTCCTGCCCTGAGATTGGCTCAGGCTGGAAGAGCACAGGATAACCTCAACACTTACTACCAGATGAAGCTCTGGGCCCAGCACAAAAAGCTGCTCTCAACCCATGCAAGGATTATCTCAATAAATAATACAGTGGAATAGCCTCAACTTTGCAAAATATGTGAGAGAGCCATGAGTTTTTGGCACAGATCAGTGAAAAAACTGCATTGAGCTCAGTGATGTACAGAGAACCAGGACCGAGTTTAAGAAGAAAACTGAGTAGTAATTGTCATAATACAAAACACCTGAAATGTATGAGAGAGTGAGCAGGAACTGCTGGTGAGAGAGGAGAAAGGAGATCTGCTGTTAGTAGGAATTAAAATAGAACACATCATGCACTGCTGCACATACTCCAAACAGTTACTCTCATTAAACCTGACTTCAGCTTCTGCTAAGGCTTCTTTTCTAACGCCAGGGCAGTAAACAGACTTCCATTCTACGTGATTGCAGTTGAAGCAGACTGTAAATGAGGACATATTTCAGTGCCTGTGCTGTCTCATTGTTGTGCTGCCATTTCCTGATGGTATCAGGACCGAGAGGCAGGCACCCACCCTGGCCTTTGTGAGCTTGCCATCTCCCCTAAGAATAACTTAGAAGTTCAATAATTGCATATTAGAGTCTATATACAGCTGCATAAATAACACTGAATTTCCATGTCTATGCTCCTTCATTCTTCACTAGCTTTGAGAATTGTAATTTCAGTACATTCCAAGTATCTTGTCTTATATAAATCATTAAATTCGAGAAAGGTATAATGTTTCAAAGCAGAGCATTTAAAATGCAAATAAATGGAAACAACAAAAGTTAAAACATATTTTATGCCACTGCCATGCTTTGAAAAGATAAATGCCAGCCTGTTTACTACCATAAATAATAAACCTTGTTCACTTTATAAAGATCTTATGGGGATTGATCACTTTGTGTCTTACACAAGCTTGAATATGTGAAGTGCTGTGACCCAGTTCCACATATGCTTTCCTTTGTGAGATTAATCTTCCTAAAATGCATGTGGCAGCTCACAGTGTAAACTGCTTGCTTACCTCTTTGCATGTATAATGTCTTATGTTTCAAAGCAAAAGGGACTTCTGGTCTCTAGTATGAACTCCCAGTATCTTAGAATCATAGAATCATTTAGTTTGGAAAAGATCTTTCATTAATAGCAAAATTTTAACCATTATTTAACATTTTGGGTTTCCATTTATTGTGGACTAACAAGACACACACACAAAAAAATAATATTACAAAATAGTATATATATAGTATAATATTATCTGTGTTTATTTTAGTAATATATCTCCATTTTCCAGAGGGAGAGGAGATAAGGAAAATCCAATGACATCATGAGACAGAGTACATTGGTGGGATACTGAATCTCTTGATAGATTTTGGGCTAGTTTGGGCCCATAGCTTTGAACCCTTTGTTTCAGTAAACTACTTGGTGGCAAATTAATTATTGACATCAGGATCTCCAGACTGCAATAACTTCCACACCATGTAAATAAAAAAAAAATAAAGTAAAAAAACAAAAAAACAAAAAAACAAAA